CTGCCCTCTGGCACTGCCCTCTTTCGAGTGGAATACAATTTTTCTCATTTTTACAGGCAATTTGTGGATTTTGTGGCTGTGTCTACAAACTGTGCATGGTAACAAAGCTTTGCAGCTGGACAGAAAACTGCATATGCTGAAAACACCACTGCAAGACGACATAGTATTTGACAGTTCCGTAAGACAGGTTCCCCAATCCAAATGTCTGTTTGTATAACATGGAATGATGTTTCCATAATATTCACAAACCACAGAGAATTGTCACACAATGGTCTTTCATTTTAAAAAAGTACCTGTCAGCTGAACTTGTGCTGTGGTCAGTCACCATTTCCATCATAAAGTTCTAGTTTTTTGTGCTTATAAAATATGGCAATAAAATATCATGCCAAGATTAAACTTGGCATACAAGTTCTGTCCAGAAGTAACCTTAATTAATCTTTTCAGTTAGCAAGTAAATTGACTTAAGTCATTTTTAAATCACTTGAAACTGAAAGCAGTAGAGGTTCTGGTTCTCATCATTTTCTTGCAGTCACAGGTCTGCAGTTTCAGCACCCCTTAAGTGCTCAGCTAGAACACTGTACAAGGAATCCTTCTGAACCTCAATGTCTTGAGGTGGCTTTGTGCCATGGATGGGATTACATATGCTGCTTCCTGCCTTGCCTAAATTAGAGAGAGTGAGGCTGAAGGAAGATATTACAGCTGGATTACTATGTGCTGTGCTGCTTGGAGCTCAGAATTGAATATAATAAACTTGGGTGTTTCCCATTTGCACCAACTGGAGATGCTGGCTGCAGGAACAGGGACTTCACAGCCTTGACAAGCCCATGTCAGACACATCAATGGAATCACCTGCAGTATTTCCAGGCAATCATACAGAGGTACCTATATTCCTCATTCTACTCTTCCATGAACTGCTTATGCACAATTAGATTGGTAGAAATCAGCCTCACAAAGTGTTCTCGAACACTGTATTTTAATGGAAGGAATGTCGTTTACTACAATACTTGTTCAGTCATTTTTTGGACGGTAAATCTAATGAAGGTGTTCTTCAAAAGCTGTTTTTCTTTGCACTTAAATCTAAGTCATGCCTATTCTCTGTACCATTAGAGATCTGTTGTCTGCAGCTGTTTAGAGGCTCCCACTTGCATTAGGATTCCACTGTGCTGTGTGTTATTCAGCCCTTCACGCCCTCCAACCCTGAATCTGCATCTGAACCCAACATCCATCAAGTTTCATCAGTGCATCCTAAGGGCAAAGAGGTCTTTGCTAGTGGATCCTACTGTGGGATCTGATCTTCATCCATATTTGAAGTTGTTTTCCCATCTGCACGTTTCCAGCAACAAAGAGAGAAAATAAATTACTATTCTCAGTATCAGCCCCATTCTGACTATCCATGCCCATGACACACTTCTTGGGAGCACTATTTGTTTCTATCAAGTCTCAGCTGCTGTCTTTTCTAGAACATTTCAAACCATACATATACTTCACAGTTCAGCTTTCCTGCTGCTACAATGTGTTAGCAATTAATGCACAATAAACAAGCAGACAATTGTTCCATTTCCAGGGAATGAAATCTCTGAGGATATAAAATGGAATATAAACTATCCATCCTTCCCCATATCCTAGAAGTTAAAAATAGAGCAAGCAATTAACTCCCCAGACACACTACATGGTTTAGGCCATAGTTAAACAGCCAATTCAATTTGCCATATACTTTTACTGCTTCTAAAGTCCTGTCCTTTCCTTAGTCTTAAATATTCACTCCCTGCTTCTCTGCGGTGTTAGCATAAGAGTTTAAGCAACCCGATGACAAGGTGGGCCAAAGAGCTGCCTCTACCAAAGCCAGGGTTTTTTTTTACTTAGCTTAGCTTTCAGCTGGGTCAGCCCCCTTGATGTGACTCATTGTAGTACCACATAAATGCCAAATGAGGAGAGGGTGAGATGAGGTGAGGATTGCATAAGCTGGTGTGAGTGCCAAAGAAACACTCTTGTAACCACAGCCCCAGACCAGTCTTGTTCCTGGGGGCAGAAATGTGAGAGGGAGACTGCTTTCTCTGCTGGCTAATTCTCTGTCGTGCCCATTTGGCAGTGGCAGCCTCCCAAGTCCTCAGGGTCTGAGGCAGCTTCTCTGGGTAGCAGGATTGCTAAGAGGTGCTGGGAAAACCCCAGCAATGCAGCACTAATGATGAGTGCTTGTAACAGGAAAAGCAAACATAACCAAAGGACATTGCTCTGATCTGATGCAAAGCAAGCAAAGTTTCTCCTTTGTCATTGCTTCCCCAGTTCAAGGGCTGAGGAAGGAGGCTATAGGGTTGAGAAAAGGTACCCAGAGAAGATGAGGAAGAGAGCAAAATTAAAAATCATAACATATCATTACACTTTCACCTGTAAATCTCATCCCCAAGCAGATCCTGTGCTCAACAGCCAGAGGTCACTAAAAGATAAGGATTTCCTGGAGCCTGACGTGAACTACAGTATCAAACACAGTGCACTGGCTTGCAGTTTGCATCACTTTCAAGCTCTGCATTGCCCTTTGTTCTGCATGAAACATAACTTTGGAAAGCCAAGAAGCCAAGAGCGACTTGGGGGCTGCCCAAATGGCTTGATAAACACTACTTAATGAAGTGCATCTGCCTCCTTGACTTTTTAAAATGTCACTAAGGCACTCATATTTACATTCACTGCAATATTCCATTTCATTCCTACCTGTTACAAAGCTGCTACTCTCAATATGGCTTGCATTACAGTAAGAAAAGTGTAACTAGTTGAAAAGACTCTAAAATCACCTTGCTCCCAAAAAGGTATCTCAAAGGAGCAAGATGCTACTTGCTGCATGTTGTTAAAAAGCACAGACTCTGGACTGACCAGTCCTTATAGAAGACTACTTCTCTTGTCTAATAATACTTTACAGAGTCAAGGAAATACAAGTTTAATACAACAAATCTAGAGCTTTCTGTTTATCTATATGCTCCACAGACTGACAAAATTACTCGTATACTGACTAAATGTACTTCACCAGTCACATCACGTGGCATTAACGGTTAACAGTTAGACTTGATAGTCTTAAAGGTCTTTTCCAACCTATGCAATTCTATGAGCTGTAAACCAAAACTACTCAAAAACTAGGATCTATATTATGATGCCACTTGCTTTACACTAGTTTTATTTTAAAGCTAGAAAACTGCAGCAGACATCTTAAAAATCTGTTCTATGACGATCTGATGAGATGATATACGTACAACAATATATCTATGCTTGATTCAGAAGCAGATTTATTTGGTTTATAGCTTGTGAGATGTTCAGCTGGCCAAAAATGGCACTGTACCTAATCATACCAACTTTGTAAAGGAAAACTCACACAATGTGCTCCATATAGTTAGGAGCAATTACATGCTGTTCTTACTTGTACTTGTTTGGAACAGTTGTAACTACACGCACTCTCCAGTCCCTTAAAAGCACCTTTCTACTTTCAGCCTGCCTCTGAACCGTAAGGAGGGTAGCTAAGCAGTCTACCCTGGTTCTAAATAGGCTGGAAAAACATTCAGCTGCCCATACATAACAGAGGTACAGGCTTTCTGTGTCAATCTGACAAATCCAAAAGACTCAGGCAGTGAAAAGATTCAGTGATATAAATACCATTATTTGAACTTCTCTTTCCACTGGCTACAGATGAATTCAGTGTAAAAGAAAAGCACACAGTTAAAACTGGAAAAAACACAGAGTTGGTTTTTCAAAAGTGCTCTGTATTGTCTAGTCCTGCTCTAGTTTGAGCAGGTTAAGCCCCGTAACGGAGTTAAAACATGACTGTTCACTGAGGCTACTTGGAGGAAGATGGCATATACATTAAAATGTATTACATGCTACATAATAAAAACAGAGGTTGGGCTCTTTTGCAAGTCTCGTGGTATGAAACTCAGCTGTTTTACTCTGCCCAGGTTCCCCTAACTGTTCACTTGGTTTCAATCCATCTGGATTTTCACCACAGAATTTTGCTTTGAGTTTCCAGTTTGAATACACGAAAGCTCTGCCAAAACCACATCACATTTAAACCACAGGAAATCATGAATTTGGCACTGTTTTGACATGGAAGCTGTAAACAGTGCGCAGGTTCACTCAAAACTGGATCACTGTCTTTTGAGTTATGAAACATAACAAAACTTGCAGCGAACCAGGTCAGAATTATGAATTACTAAAGCAAGGAGGAATTATGTGACTTTTGCATGGATCAGGATTTTGTTATAAATATTTTCCCCCAGCTTTTTTCCCTTTAGTTATAAACATACTATGTAGAAGAATAAAAGGAGAAGTTGGGTTTCCTCCTTTCCAAGTTGGAGTTAAAACAGGATTTAGCTAATTCTCATAGCTCTAGCACACATGCATCCTATTAAAGACAAGGGTAGTTTCCTACTGTCAGTCTTGAGGCTGAGTTGTACTGAACACAGAAATATGGTTTAGTTTTATGCGTGAAATGATAGGTAGTCATCTTACAGCTAACTTACACCACTGCTACAGGATCAAGCCTCCTGTTTAAAATCCACATTTTCAGCTGCCAGACACTGGATTTTTTAACCCAGGATTCCCGTTAGTAAACCACAAGGAATTTTTATGAAAATGGAAAAGTCTAAAGTATGATTTTTGCCTTCAAAATAAACACTGCCCTAAAGAAACACATATTTGTAAAGAAGTCACAAGTTCATTGAGGACAAAAGGAAAACAATCTAGATTTCTAGGCCAAGCTTGAAAACAAGCCAGATTCCAACCCAACCCAACCCAGAAGTTTGACTGCAGAGCTACATGAAGGTGGTTTGACTGAAGTCAAACAATAGGATGCAAAATGCAGTCGTGCAAAAGAAGACTTCTATTATTCCACTGCCTGCTAGAAAATGCAGTTACATCTTGCTGAATTTCATTTTTACCAGATTTTTAAACCCAACATTTTGAACATCACAAGAACTCTGCAGGGATCCGTAACAAAGAACCGTACATCAGACATATCTAACCTGTCATAGAGTTTTCAGATGTACATAGTTGCTCTCGCAGCTTTTCCACGTCGTCTGGATGAACCTGTTCATACAAAGTGCTGCCAAACCATTCAGACTGTGGCTGGTTCAGCACAGGAGTCACAGAATCTGATACATAGATCACTCTTCCCGTCTCAGCTGCAACTACAAACAGGAACCCATCTGCAGCCTCCAGGATAAGATGTTTCAGTTCCTTCCAAAGAAAGGATTTGATTAGAATGCCAGCAAGACAAGGGAATTAAATAACACATCTGTCACTGCCAAAGAATACTGTTTTCTTATGATTGTAGTAGCTGATCATAACCTAGGCAGAAATTATCACTGTAGTATTAATAGAACACCACAACCAAACTTGCAGCAAGCCATGAATTGCTGATCTTAATAACAAACAACACTTTGTTTTTCTTTATTGCCTTTCATCTGGTGATCTCAAAGCACTTCAAGAAAATTAAGTAAATAAAACTCACTACATACTGTGTGATAGGCATCTAACATTAAAAAATAAAAAGCTATTTCAGTGTACAAACAGAGGAAATGAACAGCTATAACTCATATGGCAAACTCATCCTTTAATTAAACGTCCTGAATAAATTAATTGGAAAGAAACCAACAAGTCATTCTGGTTTGTGTCGTGTCATCCGTTTCCCCCCCTCCGGATGAGCTCTGTTTGTAAATTAAACAGTCCCTGGACAAAAGGCAGAAAGTGTAATGGGACAGGAAACCTCAGCCTCCCCTCCCATTAGTGGGCCCAAGCCACTACACAAGAAGGTTTTATCACTTCTTGCTTTTTTATTCCAGCCTGTGAATATGCAACCTCAGAGATCCAAAGGTTCTGGTACACCCTGTCTTGGGCTTTTTCCTTACGTGGTCCCTGGTTCATCATCCTGGGTACTTCTGTCCTGAGACAGATATCTGACAGACCCACACATCCACCTGAGATGCAGCGACCAGTGCCCTGACCCCACCTGAGGGCTGGAAGAGAGACCATAGTCCTTTAAAGCAAGGGACTTCTGTCCCTCACTTTCAGACACTGGATTTAGGCACTCAATACCTTGAACTGCACATGCAAACAGTTGTTTGTGTGCATCACACAGAAACACCACCTTTGCTTTACAGAGCTTGAAAGCTTCTCAGGGGAAAGGATGCTAAGTATCACTCCAATTCCTGGGAAACAATCTTGAACAGCCTTTGCTTGGTGGCTCCAGTGACCTCCAGAGCTTGTTAAGATACTGTATCGGGAACTCAGAAAGCTTTGGACAAGCTGAGTCCCATTCCAGGATAGAATGGGACCAGGACAGAATGTTCAGCACGTCATCTGCCATACAAGTGGCAGATATTAGCTGATAAAGAGAGGATCAAAATCTGGTAAATTCTACTAAAGGAATTGGTAACTCATCTCAAGAAACACTTAACAGACTGTCAACTTCTGCTGCTTTACTCCAAAGAAAGCACATAAATTCTGAAGCACTGACTAAATAAAAACCTCACTGCATAGCTGGCTGCACTATACAGAGGATAATGAGACCTGTTTTGCATACATTATTAACAAAGATGAAGATAAACTCTGTCATTCTGCAAGGTTCAAAATCACCAAAGAGTTGCAATGAGAAGTGACTAGGGTGCCCGACCAAGAACCAGCTGAATGGCACCGTCCTTCCAGCAACACACTGCAAGAAAGCCAGGGTAAGGAAAGATGTGATCACTGAGAGGTCAGCAGCAGCTGCTGTTTCTCTAATAGAAGGAAGTATTGCCTCTAGCCATAAATTACATGTGTAAGTGCTTAAATGGTTTCAGACCACGAAAACGCACAATTACACCCACAGGACTTCAAAAACAATGAAAGTGGTAGGAATTGTCAGTGTGCTCAGTTAAACAGTTTTACTTTGAGCACTGGGTGCATCTTCCTTCTTCCATCCAAAATATAACCTCAGCCAGTACAGATGGGATTCATCTCTGCCCAGTTCAGCTGCTGGGAATTCAGGCGTTAAGGCTAAACACTGTTTTTAACCTCCCTCTAAACCCAGGAGGGAAAGGCAGGTCTTTGCAGATTAATTTCTAACCTATTTTAGAGGATCTTTGTTAGAATGGGAAGAACCCAGGTCTGGGGGTGAAAATTTCATTCCGGTGATGAGAACCATCAAATTACTTGCTTTTCAGATGGGCAGACCACCATAAAAACACCCATTTTGCTACATCAGAGAGGAAGATTTGTCATATAGTTAAGGTCAAGTCCAAACAGTCACAAAAATTTGTCAGTATTTACACCTTGGATATGTAGCTTGTACCAGTTACTATACAACAGCGAAGGATCAAGCTGAGACTCTACTCGTCTCAACATCTCCTCATGTCTTTTTAGTCCACAAACCAGAGAAAAGAGATACTTGTGAAAAATCTACCTGTTCTGTAAGAAATGAAGGCTTGTAAGCTCCATCAGTAGATTTGTTCCCAGTGCCCCTCATTGATTTCATGTGTGAAACAGCCATCCGAAGAATCGTCAATTTGTCAGGCTTACGAGCCAACGCGCTACAAGTGGGGACCATATCAGACAGTTCGGTGATGTACTGTGTCATCTTGTTTCTTCTGCGTCTCTCAATTTCACTATGATTCTCCCTGAACATTTAAAGAAACACCAAACCAACAGAAAAGCAGACATGATAAGAATTTCAATTGGAGGTAACAAATCCTAATGCTTCACATTTGTTTTGCTGTTTTCACCCCTGGAGAGCAAAGTGGTTTTCAAAGCTAAGCGCTATTATCCCTCAGTTTCTAGACAGAAAATCCAGGCCACAGAAGGATAAATATGATTTGCCCATGGCTCTGAAAAGAACCCGTATTTCTAGCTATTGGCTTGTGGCCTTAATCTCTTAGCCAGTTTAATCTCCTTTGGTTTAAGGAAAAAAAAATGAAATAGAAAGATGTGAGGAACTGACAACTGCCAACTCCAGCCAAACTCCCAAATTTGCTGGGATGCATCTCACAGCTTCCAGTCCTTACTCAAGGTGTTGGATCTGCTTACAAAAGGTCGAGTTTTGAGGAAACCTCTCCTAACAGCTGGATTGGGTCAGATCTTACAAAAAACCCCACTCAGTGACAACACAGACCTCCAGTCCTGTGTGGAACATCCTGCATCCCTGTAGGGAGACATGACATGCCTACAGGATCAGACTGCAGGACTGGGACCATATATGGTAAAACAGTACATACAAAAAGAATCCCAGTAAATAAATGAGTATGAAAGACAGCAAATAAACATCTGGCTTGTCAGACATCAGAATTTATGTTCGAGAACACTCTAGCACAGCAGGAAAATAACAATGACAGTACTTGGTGCTGCCCCACTTTGGGCTGAGCTCCAATGTTCTCATCCTTTATAGCAAACATATGACTGACGTGGTGAGTTAAATTTGAGAGTTCTCAAAATGGACAGTTACAAAAATCTTTCAGAACTGAAGATCTGGGAGTTCAGTTTTCCCCTACCGTAAATCACCATTGCTTGATCGCTATTAAGGAACTACACCAACATATATATATATATCTGAAATGGTCCAAAATTACCTAGAATACTTCAGTGTCTACCACTTATTTTTTTTCCATACTGTACCTGTCTGGTGGCAGCTAAATACAAGTACATGACAGGTACATGATGCTTCAGATGTCAAAGCAGCATCTTCAATGAGCTCTGCATGGCATTTTCTTGTGGGATTGCTGGCTGATCCAACAAGATGTGAAAGGTGATCACTTGGAGAAGTCCACCAGCATTCACCAGTATGATAACACAACATAAAAAGAAACTGCAACATTCTTTGGAGGTGACTGTTATGAAGACTGATAATGAAAGCAGAAGGTAGGCTTGGAACACTTTTTGGCTACTTTTAATAATGGAGCCTTTCCTTAAAGTGAAGGGAGGAATCCAAGTCATAGTATGCTGCTTCTTAAAATACAGGAATGTATGGGCTTGTCCTGCTCTAAAATGTGTATCCTCATGTTATATGCATGAGGCATTGTCTCCTGAAATGCCACTTGTAAGCCTACAAGCAAAGTTGTTTGTTATTCCTACTGATGCCTATGGTTACTATCTGATTCAGGAAATCCAGCTATGGGTCCCTGCAATGATAGCCCGTGGCTGTTCAGTAAATTACAGCCAGTCCCTTGGTGAAGGTCACTATCTACTTACGTATTACACTGTTATAGTGAACCTTCCCATTTCAAATGGCTGATAAACAGCCTTTGTGTAGGTTTGCACAAACGTAGGAGAGAACAGTACCTATGGGAGTCAGACTGTATACACACACAAGCAGAACAGCTTGTGTGTCAGTGCACATGGATGTAACAGCATACATCTACAGGTCAGCATATACATGCAGACAAATATGGACAAGTGGAAGAAAAATGCATTTTTACATGATGAAAGCTTGCTCTAAGTTCAGCATTTTCACAGAAATGGTGACCAAGAAAAGAGAGACAAAGAACATACATGTTCAACATATATTTTACATTTATAAGTACATATTACATTGTCTGACACTGAAGTATTTTAATACCCGTGAACACTGAAAACAACCATTATAAAGAATAAACAAGGAGGTTATAAAACTTCCTGAGAAGAAGAGAGAACATCTAACAATCCATTTCATTTATGTTCATAAAAGCTGAAAAGTAACAGTATCTTCATCACCTGGCCATGTTTAAGCAAACAAAACCTTGAAATTTTACCGAAACTGCTTCAAATTTAAACCCTTAAAAGAAAAAAAAGGGGCTGTGCTCCTCTTCCAAAAGTGTCTGCCATGGGAACCCTGGCATTCACAAACATGTCTACAGACTGATGTCCTAATTCTGTCATTACTAACTTTGCTTTTATATGGAGATTTTAGAGGAATGCTTAATTTCAGGAGACTGTGGGAGCTGATCCAAACCCACTTGGGTCCAAGGTTAGTATTTTGGATTTCAAACATGTTTGGATCAGCCAACCCTTCTGACTTCTGATCAGTCAGGATGGGATCATATAAAATAAAAATGGGGGCAAACCATATTTCATTTTCTCTTTTCCTACCTGGCCATCCTTTCTCTGTCAGTAATACTTTGATCATCATCCCACCTAGAAACAAAATATCCAGCTCTCTAAGCTAATGCACACCTACTGAGATTCTCTGGACACGACCATCCCCCTCTTTTCTCTCAGCAGAAGAGCTCTACAGAACACGCCTACCTTGCGAACTTTTCCTTATCACCAGAGATTTGATCACCATCATACCTAGAAACAAAAGACAGTAAGTAAATCCACAAGGGTTATGCACTGCATGATAGTCAACACACAGCAGAAAGCAAAGAGGTTCACAACTGCAAACTACTACAAATAACAGCAAGAAAAATGAGGGCATGAGAATGATAAAGCAAGGAAAACGTAGTCTGATGAAATTTCCAAGCCATGCTGATTCAAAAGCTTCATTTGTATGTTAAAAAAAGTTGGAGACACATTTCACTGGATTTATGCAAACACTTTGACATACACTCGTTGCTTGGGAAACTTAACAACCAGCACCATTACAGAGAACACCACTGAGCTTTTATTGACAGCAGCCCATGAAATATTCATTGCCGTTTGGAAGTGAAAGAGCTGTATCTTTCCAGATTGCAACCACAACTCACTCCATTCAGCAGAGGGCACTGATGGTCTACAGATAACATGGGGAGGGCAGAGACACACGCTTAAGTGCAATGCATTATATAAGGATGCCTTCAGAAAACAGCTCTAGCAGGTACAGACACTGTACTGTCTGTTGGGAAGACTGGCAAAAGTCAGTCAGGCAGATGAGACTGCTGGGTAAATAGAAGTGAAATTAAAACTGGCTTAAATCCCAGAAGTAAACAGGTACCTCATTCCTACCCAAAGCGACTGCAATTAGATGTCTGAACAGGTATGTGTGGTGTATCAGCAGCAACTTTATGGAGGAAATCCAGATCAATTGGACTTCTGCCCAGTGGTATTAAAGCTTCACTGTTTCTGAAGCGTTGTCCCAGAGACTGGCAGCAATGTGACATTTCACTAAGGAATGACATGCTGCTCCTCCTTTCCTAAAAACAGACTCATCATTTGAAATCAGATTTTGCTAGCATAGTTACAAAAACTGCATTTGTTCGAAAAAGATCTTTCTTTTGGAGAAACCAAATTGTTTCCTCCAAATGAGAGTATGTAGGGTTGTGAAAATACAAAAATAAGGTTAATGGCTTCCTTAGAAGTGAAGAGTATTTTTGCTCAAGAATAGTCCAGTGAGATTCTGTATTACAATTATGCCTTTCCAAAATGATGCAATTTATTACAACAGGCAGCCTATGAAGGTCCCATGCATTAGCTAACAAAGTTAAACAGCATAAAATAATTCAGCATTTTTCCTCTCTACAAAACTAATAATGAACCTTTTCTTTTTCTCAAATGAATTAAAACTAATTTTAAGTACCCTAGCTGTGCAAGTTCCTCTATAAGGTTTCATATTTTCCTTCCTTACTATGACTCATTCAAACACTGAAGACAAAGCTTAAGCGAGCCTTGAGCTGTATTTCTATGTTGTGTTTAACACCAGCACCCTCAACACATTCAAGTGTAAACACCACTTTACTCCACTTGACCGTGCCCAGGGAAGAGACTGACCCAAAGAATTTGGAACAAAAAGACATATTCAGTGAGGAATGGCCACATGCCACTAGGTGAGAAGTGCATGCATACGCTTCCATGTGACAATGAGATGCCATGCAGAGATACCTGAGCTGGCCTGGAAGTCCCTGAGAAGCAAGGTGTGTTAACTCACGTGGAGTACTGTACTAACACCACTATCTCGCACCAGCTTGGGGCTTGTTTACTCATCCTCATCTGGCTGGCTGGGCTGAAAATGTTACTGCCTCCAACTATTGGTTTCTCTCTTCCAGTCTCCCAGCTGACCTCACCGTGTGCATGTTTCTTGAGGCACTTCAGTCAAAGCCAGCTGGGCTAGCTTAAACATTTAAACAGCACTTCTTTGCTATCCAAATCATTTTGACCAACACAAACTAGGAACATGGCCCTGAGCATCCCTGTACCGTTTTTCTGTACTCTGTAACAGCAGAGCAATCTGGCAGGTTAACAGCATTTTAAGATTTAAATGTCAGATTTGCATCCAACATCTAAAGTCAGCTGAGTCTAAGCACAGCACAGCACACCAATAAAACTAATGGAACTACTGGCTCTCCCCACTACTAAACTTTGAAAAGTTAAGGCAAGGATGGAGAGAGACCAACGCACATGCATCAGTGTGCCTAGAAACCCTGACACTTATGCAGGCACATTCATCACAAATCTTAGAATCCCAGAATCATTTAGGTTGGAAAATATCTTTAAGATCATTGAGTCCAACTGTTAATCCAGCACTGCTAAGTCCACCACTAAACCGTGTCGCTCAGTGCCACATCTACATGTCTTTAAAGTATCTCCAGGGATGGCGACTCCACGACTTCCCTGGGCAGCCTGTTCCAATGCCTGATGACTCTTTTGGTGAAGAAATTTTTCCTAATATCCAATCTAAACCTCTCCTGGTGTAACTTGAGGCCATTTCCTCTTGTCCTATTGCTTTTTACCTGGGAGAAGAGACTGACCCCCACCTCGCTACAACCTCCTTTCAGGTAGTTGTAGAGAGCAATATGGTCCCTCCTGAGCCTTCTCTTCTCCAGACTAAACACCCCCAGGTCCCTCAGCTGTTCCTCATCTCACTTGAGCTCCAGCTCTACTGCCGTTCTCTACACCCGCTCCAGCACCTTGATGTCTCTCTTGTTCTGAGGGGCCCAGAACCGAACACAGTATTCAAGGTGCAGCCTAGCAAATATTAGGACTAGCCCTCAGATCACCAGTTCTAACACCAGGAACTGGAATATCCTTTCTGTAAATGACATCAGCTAAACAGGAGTGCTGCTGGTCTTGTCCAGTAGGTTACAATATGGTGTTATGACACATCTTCAGCATACTTATCTTTTAGACTGCCCAGGAAGATCTTGTTAAAACCCTATGGAGACAGCTGTGTTTCAACACGACTGCTGCTATAATGCTGCAGTTACAGTGTGGATAACCAGCAGTTACCTGTAGGCCTCAAAGAATCTACCCCTCACTGCAGCTGCTTGGTTTCCAATGAATAAATAATGCAAACATTGTGACCAGAAAAAAAAAGTGAAAAAATGGCAATGATGCTTTAATGTTTGTTTTTATTTCTAGCTTAGGATAGTCCATGTTAATTAACATTTATTTTGGCAATTTTTACTATTCAGGTACTCCTAATAGTACATAATGAGCTTTAATCTTAAAAAGAGACAATCCACACCTCTAGGACCTGTCATATGGTCTTAACAAGCAGTTAACATCTGAAAGAAATTAAAAATAAAATTCATTTTCAGTGCCAGAAAGACAACTTCAGCAATGTCAAATAACCAGAGTTCATGTACAACAGTTGAAATAATAACCTAAAAGTCACAAGTTTTCTCATTTGACATAGCTGCAGAGTGAAATTATGACATACGCTGTCAGCTATGTAAACCAATAACTACATTAGGCAGATTTCTGCCAGGATGCCCAATTTGCAAAAGAAGCTTATAAAAACAGTAACTAGAATTTAGGTCAAGTTGTTGGCAAGTTCTTCAGCCACATTCATATTTACTTTAAAACATCAGTAGCAAGACAGCTGTCTTTCTCCACCGAAAAAAGTCACTGATTTGGCCCACTCTTTGTAAATGCTTACCTTGAAAATTTGCTGGGCCCCTCCCCGTCTTCATCATCGAAGTCCATCCTGTAAAAGTAACATTTCCAAATCAGTAATCATAATGTTGGTAATGGTGACATGAACCATTCAAGCCAGCAGTTCTCAGTCTTGTGTGATTTATATTTTGACTGGAGGCGTTAACAACTGTAGATTCCGGTCTTGCTCATATTCTCCAGAACCCCTAAAAGTAGCTCATCAGCTGCCAGGAATACAAAGAACATAAGCTGTTAAGATTTTTTTTTAGTAAAGTAATAGATTTCTTCTCCACAGAAATCTGCACTGTTGAAATTAACAAATAAAAGGAAGTATTAAACAAATAAAGTTCTTTTAAGATGGTGAGAAGCAGTAATATCTCTTAGGCTTGACAGAAGTTTACAGAAATCAGTGGGGACTCCATGTTTGAGGACTAAAATTAAGGCTAAAGAAAAAGTTCTAAAGCTGTACACACAGTAAATGTCAGGGCACCGGTTTTGCCCCAGCCTAAAGAAACCTAGAGGTAGAGCAGAATAAACTCCCAGCCTCCCTGCTACGAGGATTATCTACATCACTGCTACTGATTGTAACTGTAGTTAGTTCTTTAGAGTTGCCCTAAATTAACCCATCAGTTCACATAAACTATTAGCCAGTCTACAGATGGCAACTACTTTGTGGTATTCCTGTGGCCAATACTAAAATGACCTATGGGTCTACCATGCACCTAACTTACCTGGTTTATGTCCCAGACCTTCTTCTTAAGTCAGCAGAAGAGATGAGCTCTTCCTTGGGGCATATCCCACCCCTCCAGTTAGGCTCCTCCAGGGAGCCACAAAAAGCAGGAACCTCTTTCTTCACTTCTTACACAGAGAGACTAGGAAGATTAACCTCCTAAGTTAGCCACTTAAATTAGTTTTCTACATTAGGCAGTATGATTGCCTCCTTCCTATTGATACCAAGTTCCTAGAAAGTTATGCAATAGTGTAATTTCCAAAATATCTTAATCATTTTTATACCTTTAAAAAGAGGTGAACAAATAAATAATTACAAGAGGGTGACTCAGCCATTAAGGTAGATTAAGAACCAAGCTGATATAAAATTATCAAATACAATTATTGCATTAGTGTATTTTAATAAGAAAATATATTAGTATGATATATAGACCTTGATCAGTCACTTCAATATAATTTGTGTAGGTAAGAAACCACAGTTTTGCTTTGCAAACATTTTGTTATGTTTAACACTTTAAGCTTTCTAACATTTCAGTGTAATAAAACTTCACACAATTACAGATTCCGTGTCTCCAACATTCTTCATATAAACAACAGATAAAAGTCCTACCAAAGGCAAAAACCCTGCAAAGTGACAATATTTACCCCAGTATTAAAAGAACCCCCCCTAGCAATTAAAAATTAAGATTTGTATGTTCAGAGTGTGGGAACAATGACGTAAAAATGCTCTCTCTGAAACTACATCAACATACAGAAGTATGAGTGCCAGTCAGGCAATACTGCCTTGAGTCCTAATTCTGATAACCAAGAGAGACTGGTCTGTAAAGGATGTGTCCAAGTCACAGCAATCTATCTACAATAAGGACAAGGAATAAGCACAAGAATTGGAAACAGTATTAGAAAAGTCACAGTAATATTTTCCAGATGGCAACAGTGATTATTCATTTCTGAAGGAAGCAGAGTGAAAACCATTTTCCCCAAAGAGTTTTGGGAAAAGATGTGTGTTTAATTTGGTCAAGTTTGATGCAATCATCATTTTCACTACAAATTACATTTTTGCTTGCCTAATTATCAGCAAAACGGGTTTCAAAGCCCATGACCTCCCAGGTGCCTTGTGCAGAACACCACCGACCTCCAGCGGCCAGAGCCCTTGATAGAGCCACGGAGCCTGCAGCTAAGCCAGGACCCAGCCGATGGGTAGTGCTGCTACCCATCACCCCAGATCTGGCCTTCAGCACTGGCACCAGCAGCCTTCATTTCCCCAGACCTGCTGCACAGACAGTACTCCCAGCAATTTAACATTTAACACATTATCATCTAGCCAAAGGTCTCCTCTTACCTACCTGCTTCTTCCCCACATACAATGATGTGGCTACAGGTGAGATTCCAGAACAAACTTCCGAGTTCTTTCAATTGCAATGTTTCTACCTACACCAAGAATCTGAAAGTCAGCTTTACAGGAGAGCTGTCTGTTTAAAAGCTGAGGGCACACTCAGACCAGCACTGGGCTGGCTCCACCTGAAACTGCTCACAAAAGCATCACATCAGGCCTATCCTTCACTGGTTTCAGTGGCAACAGAGAGAAACCTCCAGTTTCAAGATTGAGGGAAAAGAGCTGCAGGAAATATATATACCTATTGGGAAGCCTTTTCTTTGGGGATTTAATAAGGCTCTGCTTTAATGTGGGATGGATTAATTATGTAATTCTTTTCCTTCCCCTCAATACACTGAGATCCTGTGCCTCAATAGATTTTCCTAACTTCCAGCCAAATACTCCAGCTGAGTGCCAAGAGATGGATTTTCCCCCCAGAATCAAATATCAGCTCTACTGCATTTAGTCTGGTTTATTATTACTGGAATATAATGCAGAGAATTACAGAGAAGCTAGTGATGGCTTAAGGCTTGATGCTGATACCTGTGCTGTATGCCTACTTCCAAACAAGTAAGTGGGACTAACATACCTGATTATCTAGATGGCTGGATATCAGCTTCTCATCTTATAAGACCTTGATGGGTTAATATCCATAGGTGATACCTAGCACATTTATAGTTGGTTCATCACAGTAGAATCTGAGTGCCTAGGGTGCAACACCAGACTGTAACAGACTAAACCTTTAAATAATGCCCTTGTTTTGTTGAAGTACTCTAAAAGCTTGACTTTGTTTCAAATGACGATTATTAAAAAGGAGAAATTTCACATCAAGTTAATTAAAATGTCAATACTTGCAAAAATGAAACAGCAAATGCATCTCTGTCCCTCCATTACTAACAAACACATTTCCTGATTTCACATTTCACTGTACAAGATGAAAAAAAACCTGTTTAAAACCTGTAGAAAAAAAGCTCAGGTATAAAGTTGTTGATTCCAACTTCCTGCCTGAACCGCCGCTGTCTGTTTTACAGCAAGATAGAGTGAAAGGCAGGGAATCAGTTGTAATCTTTAGCAGAAAACACAAAAATAATATTCCAACAAACTCCTTATACCCTGACAAGTAAGATCTTCTATTTAGATAGAATATTTTGCTCATTAGCAAAACAGCAGAAGCAGCCTCCAAGAAGTCAAATGACATAATTTCAGAAGTTTCAGAGAGTATCTTTTATCTTCATTTCAAATTCCCATTAAAGAGAGACTTTAAAAGAGCTGCACTATGCTCTTTTGTTTTGAAGAGACAGCATAGATTTTGTTTTCCTCTTTCATGCTGTTCATGTCAATCATGAAAAGACCTAATGTACGAAGTACTTATTAAAATACATTTTCCTCAAAAGATGTGTGGGTACCATAAATACCATGACAAAAATGTTTTCAAAAAAAATATTTATTTTTAAGTAGCAACATTTTCATACAAAGAAAAATCCCCCCTCCAACAAGGTGGTCCTGCATAGGTTAAAAAATTGAGATGAGGGAGGGTTTGAACACTGCAATGAAATTATTATGTAAAATTCCCAAGAAATGTCAAAAGATGGCTTGCCATGATTATAGAGCGTAGGAAGGGGGCAGGCAGGAATGATAGGGAGCAGATGCAGCTGAGAGGCAGATGGGGATCCATACTACAGCCTTTTGTTCAGTACAATATTGGGGGGATACAGCTGGGGAGGGAGGCTGGGAGCTGAGGTTTCTTCCTCCCCATATCTCACAGATCTCTTACAGAGAACAGACAAGACTATACACTGAACCGAAACAAAACCGATGCAAATGTAAACCAACCAGTCAAAAAAACCAATGAAACACCAACCCTCCCTCCCCAGGTACAGATTACCTAGAAAGGTGAAAAGCCCCGTATCTTCTAATGCAGCAAATCCCAAAGAAAACCCACGTTAAATAAAGAACTGATGTTATGTTAATCTAAGGTAGCCATTGACCACTGCAGTGCATCCCCTTATGCTGTCACCTTTTCCTATGAAGTACCTGGTATAACTTATAGAAAGGAAAAATATTTTTCCAAGCTGTCAGTGAATGCCTACATGGCAGAAACACCTTCTGGATAGCCAATGAGTTTAAACTGATCTACATTCAAGTCCATACAGCAATTATTCTGCCAGCTTGCCTCAGCAATTATGAGAAAAGAAACAATTTTCAGAGATAAACGAAGCTGGAAAAGATGACTGTGTTCACCAGCTACATTCCTTTATGTTTGACACAAAGCATTCATTTCTAAAATGCCCAAGGATTTAGGTGTACAAAGATGTATCACCAGGACAGTAATGAAAGGGCCAAGTGTTAGTTGCAACTTTGTTCAAAGAGAAGGTAGGAGGAATTAAACACAGCAGGCATTCTTTCCCTCAAGGTCTGAATACACACACACTGAACAAAAAAAGAGCTAAAAATGCACCCTCAGCTCAGGCTTGGAGAAGGGCTATTAGTTCAGAGCTATGGTGCACAGATAAAATACCAATGTCTGGGTCCAACAGCAAATCTGCACTAACTTACTCACTTAATTTGCATGTTAAATACATTTAAAATAATTTGATTTTATGTTCCTCCCACCCTCCCCCCACTCCACTTTCTCCCAAATAAGATGATGATACTTAAAATGCAACAGTTAAAGCATAGCTTTCAATTAATACCAAATCAGTATTTAATATAATCAGAAGATTTCACAGTCAGCAGCATGAACCCTTGGTAACAGTAATTTGCAAACTGGTATTGGCAGTTGACATGGTTTATGATCAAAAAAGAAATCAACTATCCTGCAACTCAGAAGTACAAAAGCTTATATATGTTATGTAGCAACGAAAGGAAGCTAATGCTTTGTTTTCTCTTTTGAGTGGAAGTTTGAAATGGCTATTTCATTGAACAGTTTCAAAATAAAAATGCGATGCCTGTCAAAGATAGACTTTAGGAATTTCTCAGAACAATTCCATACAGTTGGCTCAGCATATGAAGCACACTCAGTGGGGGTAAATCTCCAAATTGCCCTGCCCAAAGGAACCCCCCTCAGAACAACCATCCTGAGTATTCCCATCATATCAACTTAGCTCCACATTCAAGGCAAGGTCCACCTTCTCCCTTGTTAATCTATTCCAGCACTGTCACTTCAGCAGGCTCCTAAAACTGACAACATGCCCTGGTGAACAATCCCTAGATTAGCTCTCACAAGGAATATCTTCTGAGGCGTCCATCAGTAAAGATTTTACTCACACCATCATAGCTGTTAAGCCTTGCCACTGTCTTATTTAGGGCTAAACATAAGACTAATCGATCTCTTGCAGGCACTCTCAGATTAGATCTCACTGAGAAAGCATCTTCTAAAGACCATTATTTGTTATCAACCTTTGATAAAAACAGAGGGGGTGCTAATGCTAAAGAGTAGTTTTCTGCCCTTTAGTAGTAGTTTTCTGCAGCTCTTGCTACGCTTTTCTTCTAACACAAAGGATTAGTATGAGTTGCCACAGAGCAACCTGATGTGGAAGAACTATCTATTCCACACCAACACCTGAAGTTGGATAAGATAAATTTTGTTCTTTAGCAGAGCCCTCAAGCTAGTGCAAGGGCTGAACTTGATTCAGGCCCTTTCTCCCAGAAGCAGACTATGCTGCATTTCCACTGAGACCTTGAATATCATAGACCACAATCTCTGAAGAGTGACTGCTTGTGCTATTTCTGTACCTGAGACTATAAAGAAAACACTTTTAACAGAAGGCCTCCATCTGACAGATTCCAAGTCCAAACTTCAGATGAAGCTGGGTAAGTCTGCATGTGCAAGTAAAAACACATCTTGCTACCTTTACTCACATGATAAATCCTTTTGAGATTAAACAGATGTAGGCAATGTGCAATTCATTACACATACAACAGCCACGGGATCCAAACTCAGCTCCTGGATGCTTTGCCAAACCTTAAAGTCTTTTGAAGCATGCAAAACAACAAACTATACACTTATCAGCAAGTCTGATCTTGCAGGAAGAACAGATACATTGAAGAGAAAAGCAAAACACCAGTGACTAATGCCATAATGTAGTTCACATATATAGAAATTACATAATAAGCATTCACATACAAGTACACTCTCAGTTTTTCAGTACCAGTCATTTTCAACTTCAGACCTAAAAAGAAAACACCCAAAGGCTTACCCAGAGCGGCGCTTTCCTCCTCTGGAAGGCATGGATCCTGCCATTCTCACTTGTCCACTTGACATTGGTGCCACCGGCAAGGCCACTGAGCCAGGAATATCTGATGCCATTTCTGTAATGCAGAATTGGGAAAAAGGAGGGAAAAAAATCCTTTAGTCCATTACCTGAAAGGAGAAACCTGTGATGACAACACTGGAGAAAGGCCCTTTCGAAAACATGCCAAGAAAGCCTTGCTTTTTATTTCTAAGGAAAGTCAAAGATCAGCAAATTCAGAGCTCTCTTAAAAGAAGCCCAGTTCTGTCAACAGCCATTACGAGTGCCTTGGGAGACAGAGAGAATAGCAGGTAGGTACCTCTGTGTTTAAATTTACCTCATGGTTCTAGTTTTACTTCTCAGAGGGGCTGTCAGATGAAGGCCAACAACCCTTTACAACAGTTAAACTGCTCTGTAGAGAAATGCAGAGCTGAATCCCCAAGACGAAGGAAGCTGTGGATCATGGTACCAGGACACCAAGAAAAATAAAGCTTAAAAAACTTCTCCGTTCACCAGTGAGGTCAAGAGTTTACAGCACAGATGAATTATAAGGCAACACTGGGTTTTATTACTTATATTGTGGTGGCATTCAGAGGCTCAGAACTTTGCAGACCTCCAAGTCTTCCTGCCTTTCTGTGTGGTGTCTTGCAGAGCAGATTTGAACCCAAAATCCAAGCTGACATTCATCCCTCTGCCAGTGCTCTGCACATAGCCACAGGTTAAACCTTAAAACTTTGATGTGAGAAACGGCAACAGCACCTTATGCAATGGTTTCCAGACTGCTAATGGCAAGTACTTTTACAACCCATTAATAACAGTTCATTACACTTCAAAAAAGAAAAGTGGAATATAACGTATTTATACCCTTTTCTACTAGCCCATAGATTAAGCATGTTTTGCCTCTGCAACTTTTGTAAACTATGGAAGCAATTAAAACTTTTCTAACATAGAGATACTTTAGTCTACAGTCACAATATTTAATTATCTTAAAAGAAAATGCATCCTCCTTCCAACTTTTCTTTAAAAAAAAAAAAAAAGCCAAACCCAAACTTGGTGGAGTATCTGGAGCTACAGATAAATGTATTTACTAATGGAAAGCAAATGTCTTAAAAAATCCTGCTATTTTTTCCCAACAGAAAAGTACAAAAGAACTTCAATTATGGAAACAGCAATCCATGTTCTTTCATTATGTCTGGAGAGCACTTCCATCTCTGCCACACTTTATATAAATCCATTATGCAATGTTATGCATTCCAAATAATAACATTTTATCTGTTCGCTGATTCCATGAATTTCTTCTAGGATGTTTACTTCATTAACTCCTTTTCAACTAAAAATCAACCGAGCAAAGTACTCATCCAATATTTTTCAACAAAGTGTGCAAGGACAAACAATGAGACCTCTGCCTTCAACACCACACCATGCAAAGTCCCTCTGTCTCTAAAGCTGCTGCTGTGTAGAAACACTGCATTAAATACATATTAGCATATTTCCATACAAATAAAAGGATGAGCATCCAAATAACTGGTAAATCACTATTTCCAGAATTAAGTACCCTTGGCAGTATAATACCAATAATTCACACTCAAACTCACATTCCATGGGCAGAACCAAAGGTAATCTTGAAATGCTCTGCTTACTCATTTATTAAAGCAGATGGTAAGAACCATAATAAATTTACCTGCAAAGTGTCCCTGTCACTCAGAAACACATTCCAGCACAGATCATCAAGGAGATCAGATTTTTTTAAAGCAGTAATCGTAAAACAATTTAAGATCAACTCTGAGCTGCATTTTCAGTAAAACCAACACTGTATTTGTAATTGTAATGAGAAATTCTTATAACCTCAGTTTCCTCAATCTAAAACAAAAAGTATGAAAAATCAGGCCAAAGGCTGGATTCATCTGCTCTTAAAAGTCTAAAAACCCAAGCTAATTATTTAGAATAACTTTACAGGTCACTACTATGCATCCCATGCTTAGAGGTGCATCCAAAACAGGTTGAGTAAACCTCCTTCTACAGGTTCCCTGTTCTCAGCACTGACAACTCAGGTGGTTGTGGCTAGGCAAAATGAGTTTTTCTGCTCTTATGTTAAGCCTTTACTATATGGGGTAAAGGTTGGACTCGATGATCTTAAAGGTCTTTTCCAACCTAGTTGACTCTATGATTCTATGTATGAAGACAAGGGTAGTTGGCAAGCTTAAAGTAGTAAGGAAAAAAAGAAACCATGTTTTATAAGAAAAAAATGAAGGCTAGAGGAATAGCCAAACTACAGGCTCAGCTGTATCAGTGTCCAAAAACACCTGAAAAAAAACATTCTGCAATAAACAGATCAGCTGTCTATCAGGGTGTAAGCTGAAGAGTTACTGTGGACGTATACTGACTCTCTAGAAGGGCACATCAAAAACAGCACAATAAAGAAAGTAGCTTTTTACATCAAATGGCCTTCAAATACGCCTTCATGGTCCTGAGAGAACAAAACCAAGCTCATTGAGCTGACCACTTTAAAAGGATGTCTTCAAACATTTCCATTTCCAAAATAAAAGCAGAAGAAAAAATAAATAAATAAATCAGGGGATCCACAGACATGAATCCACATGAAAGCTCAACTAAAAGGGAAGAAAGCTTCAGGTCCTTCCAATCTGAAGACCTTCCATCACACAACAGTCTGAAGGTGTGACAGAGCTGCACATACATCGATGTGTAAGAAACCCAATTTACCTTTCCATTTCAGAGTTTCCCATGTCAAAGAGACACCAGCCACCGTGTGACCTATTGCACCTTCGAGGGTGGACATACACTGCTAACAAAAGCAGTCAGCTTCACAAGGTTTCTTTCCTGACACAACAGAATTAGAGTTCTGTAGTAAATACAGCAAAGAAAGAAACTCCAAGGACATGACCATCATAGAGTATGGAGCACCCAGAACCTGACCTGCCTCAGCAGAAGCAACCAGAGCACACAGTCTTGGTGTATGAACACGGACAGCAGAGCACTGCAGGACTTCAGGGATAGAGGTGACAAAGTGACCCCACTGCTCGGCTGCAGACAAATGGGTCTTAAAAGACTTGTCAAAGTTAGACGGTGGCACCAAAATATAATCCACTATGTTGTGGCTGTAAAAACTGCTCACAAATGCAGCATCTCCCTGCTGCAGACTGCAAGAACTTCTGGGGAAATGACAGAATGGATCCGAGCTGCTTCCCAAATACCTTCCATCTGTACTCATCTGCAAACATTTAAAAGGAGCAGATCTTTGATGATAATTTTACATTTATAAAAAAGAGCTGGTCAGAAAAGTAGAAACATGTTATCTCAAAAAATGAAGGGTAATCTCTGGAAGGCAGAGCCAGAAGAAAAGTCTGATGGAATGGTCAGCTGCTTCTCTGAGTAAGCACCTGAGAAGCTACCTGTCTGTGCATGCTCCAGGAAGAAAACAGACAGAGGAAGAATCTCAGTTAGAAATATTATGGTAGAGAGGCACTCCAGGGAGCCTATTACCATAAAAAAAAAATAATAATTTTAAAAAAGAGTGTACGTTGGACACAGAACTAAAGAAAAAAAAATGTATCTATAAAAAACCAGAAAGGCAAAAACCTGCAATTGTGTGAAGTTACATCAACAAAAATTTAAGGCAGCCCTTGGAAGTAAATGAAGCTATTCTGTTGTAGCATAAACTAGTATAAAAGCCTAGCACGGCAGAAGCAGATGTCAAGTTAGTTATATTAAAAAAAAGAACATGCTGGGTCAACAAAGTTCATGTTTCCAGGCTCATGTACGTCCATGTCCAAACACACGTTAACACTGATGTTCACTGAAGTGTTTCAGCAGCAACGAACATTAGGAAACAAGCTGTTCTCTTTCAGATACTGGACCTTCTCAGAGTGACCTGTCCTTCTGCTGACAGATACAAAACAAGTGTTGCTCACTTTACCCAAAATTAAATCATGACCATAAGGGCATAATGTTCAGAAAGCAAAACAAGATCAGGCTGAATGTTCATGAAAATCACCTATAACCATCAAGGCAGTGTTCTGGGGAAAATAAATAAATAAATAAAAGAAATGCCCGAGTGTCAAATAGAAATCACTTTTCCATGCAAGAATACACACGGTATTTAATTTCAAAGTTAGAAAGTTACCTAGAGATCTGCCAAAGAACATGGAAATGCTATTAAACCCAAGTGTAACACTTGCAGTCTTTAGTACGTATTCTTCCAGTTAGACGGCACCTAACAGCTCTTACCATTGTCATGCCTGGGCACAAGGCCTGATCTTGCCACCAATACTCATCTTCATCTTGGGGATCCCCAAGAAGCTGTCCTAATCCAGGGACAACATCAGGGCTCAACACAGAAACAGCTGAGTGAGTCCCCTCCATTTCTGTCCAAATCCATTTCACTGCTCCAAGCTTTGGATATTACACTTTCATCCAGCACCACATGTAGGTCACCCCCAAAATATTCTGGGATCTTTTTGAAATAAAAGACAATCTGCAAATGTACATGAGAAGCATAGGGATAAAACACAAGGATTTATTCCCAATAAATTCCATGTTCATCCCAAACTTTGTTATAGAGATCTGTACAAAACCCAGCTACTGTGTTCTTCGCAAAGTAGAACACAAAAAGCAAGCTAAGTGCTGCACAAGGATTCCTCGAAAGTGCCCGTGAACCACAATCACAGCAAAAATTGCTGGACAGGCAACACGCCAGGATGAACTTGGACTTCTCTTTCTACACAGAGAATTAATAAACTGCATCTCTTAAGTCCAAACTGTAATCTTGAGCCCCACCCCAGATCCTCTGCCTGAAATACAGCTCTAACTCGTCTCTGACACTATGTGTGACTTGCTGAGACACCCCCAGAGAAGTGTAGCATTTTGGCCAGGTATTTTCACAGCATCACGAAGGTCCAGAGATGGCATTTCCTGTTCTGCTCCTTTCCAGAAACCACAGCCATACATCTTGCTGTGAAGGTCTGAAATGCAACCAGTCGGTGTGCATGACAAGCCTTTGCAAGTCCATCTTGCTAAAGGTCCTATTAACTACACTATTTTCAGCCACTTGGGCACCCCCC